GAATCCAAAAGCAAATACTATTCATTTCCAAATTTTACCAAAATATAACTCTGCATTCAGGAAAAGTGGAGAACACCTTTGTTTGTATTATATGACCCCCCTGCCAACATGCAGTATAAGTCACAATATTATGGTGTCGTGACATGCCAGACTTTAAGATGACTTTAATGGAGTAACCAAAGTTCCAAGGTATAAGAGTACTTCTCTCTGGATGTTTCTGATATATATTCCAAATTTCCAACCAATTAAAATTTTGGGAACATAGTTGGTGTGTAAATGGGCAGAGATGTACTCATGTTTATAGAATATGCTTAATCAGGGCCTCTCTGGTTGTGCAGGCAGTTGAGCACAGTGCTGTGAAGCTGTTTGCAGCCTCTGCAGTGCCAGTTCGATCCCCGCCAGCCATGTAGATACCCACATGGTGAGCCAGACCTCTCCTGTCTCGCCCACTGCTCCCCTCGGCAGTGTATTTCAGTCAGTCTGCCTGTCCTGTTCCCCACTCTGTCTCTGGTGAATCCTCTCACCCTCCCACACACCTGGCCTATACCCCGGTTCTTGCATAAATAAAATAAATCTTAAAAAAAAATATGCTTAACCAATATAACATGGTAATCAACAGTTGTTTTGAACATGGAGAAACCACTGGGACATCTTTGCTCTGGAGAGAGAGCATATGATGTAAATGATGACCTCGGAGGTAATGAGGACTGTATTCTGGGAAAAGCCTCTCCCTCTACACTTGCAGTTCTTATTTGCCAAGGGATCACCTATCTCCCCTCCTTCTTGCCACCTGAGCGAAAACATCTTACAAAGCTGCCCCGCCCCCAGGGACATCATGCTCCTTTACATTTCATTCTCTCAGTGAATCTCTTCATTTTTCACCCTTTGGGATAGCCTAGCAATATTCTAAAATAGGGAATTCTTTCAGAGTTAGATGAGTTATCCTCAGAATTAAGTAATTTCCAAGGGAAATAACTACACATTATAAGCAATAAATAGTTTATTATTTACATTTTAGATCAAAGAAACTTAAATCAAAGACAAATTCCCCAAATCATGAGTCCTGGCCATCAACTTACTGCCTAACAAATGGGTTTTGACAAGAAGAATCCTTTTCCCCACTAACTAACGATTACGAAGATCACAACTATGAGCCTAATGATTCTGGCCTCTTTTAAGAAACCATGTTCCCCGGTGGGGGGGGAGGGTGGATTGTTTTAAGAACTAAAAAGGTCTTATATTTGGCTGTCAGGCCAACTACACCCTTCTCCCCACTCTGAGGTATGCAATAATTCTGAGTGTGATTGAGAGTTAGTCCTTTGCACTGGTTTAAAAGAGGGACTGTTTCATATGATGCTTCCCAGAGGAATTCTTGTCCAAAGGTGGGTCAAAGGTATGAGATGCATCCTAGCTCACCGTGCCAAGTCCCATTCCTGACATGAGACTGCTTCATCCAAAAGGGCACAAGGCCTCGCTGACTAAAATTACCCATCTTCACAGTTGTGCTCATCTGGATGGGGTCCCTTTTTCCAACTCACACAAAGGCCCTCTATGAACCTGCTCACAAGAGCCAAATCACTGAACCTGAAATGCTGCATGCTAGATCTGCTCAGTACGGCCCTTTCAGTTTTCTGCGGGTAAACACCTATACTTTCTAGCATCATCCATTTATTCAAAAGAGAAAGACTACTGTGTGTCTGCCATGGGTTAAGGACAATGCTGGGGGGCAAAGAATAAATGCATAAACACACTCTGCAACTTTCGGCAACTTTGCAGTCTAGCTGAGGAGTAAACATTTATATATTCACTCATCAAACAATGTTTAGGTTCCTTCATGTGGCAGGCACTATGATAAGATCTGACATATAAATCATTATAACTTGATGTGATAAAACTTCTTTGGAATCAAAGAAGATTTTGAGCTGGATCTTAACAATGAATAAAGTTTCTCATGGTGGAAGTGAAGAAAGAATAGTTATATGTAAAGGTACAAGGCAAAATAAAAACACATGACAAGCTATAGACCAAACCAGTTGAAGTTAGGGCTCTGGGTTGATGGAAAGGTGGCTGGGAGGTGGAGGGGGTCATACTCCATATAAGACATGGCTTGTGAAAGACAAAGAAACCAGAATATCTAAAATTTCCGATGTTGAACTTTGTAAAGATCAACAAACTTTTCAAACTTTTAGCTGGACTTATCAAGAAAGAGAGAGAAGACTCCACTTACTAAAATCATGAATAAAGAGGACATCACTGTGCATGTAACAGAAATAATAAGGATTGCAAGAGTAGTATGAGCAAGTGCACGCAAACATTAGATAATTTACATAAATAGGAAAAATCCTCAGGAACACATAATCTACACACATGTGATTAATGGGAAATCTCCAGTGTTCTTCAGCTTTCTTGTGTCTAAAATCTCTTTGAAAAATAAAATTTAAAGAAAGTAGATGGAAAATGTTTGAAAAATGTTTCACCAACAAAGCTATATAAATTACTAATAAACATATGAAAAGACAATAAAACATCATTCACCACCAGGGAAATGCAAATCAAAATCACATGGGCTGCTCCTTCATAGTCACGTGGTTGGCTATAGTCAAAAAAGACAGATGACAAGTGTTGGCAAGGATGTGGAAATACTGAAAACTTCGTCTATTGCTTGTGTGAGTATAAATGGTGCAGGCATTTTGGAAAACAACTTGAATGTTCCTCAAAATGTAAATGAGGGCTTCCCCTGGTGGCGCAGCGGTTGAGTGCTGGGCTGTGAAGCTGTCCGCAGCCTCTGCAGCGCCCGGTTGGATCCCTGGCCCCCTGCGAGCGTCCCACATGGCGCGCAGACCTCTCCTGTTCCCCACTCTGGCTCTGGTGAATTCTCTCACCCTCCCCCGCTTCTGACTGTACACAGTGCTTGTATAAATAAATCAATAAATCTTAAAAAAAAAAAAAAGTAAATGAGACCATGTAACCCAGTGATTCTGTAACAGGGTGGTCCCCAGGAAAGGGGGAGGTTCCCTGCCCCACCCAAGGGAGGGTGGAGCTGAGCAGGAAGAGGAGAAGCTGAAGAAGAGACTGAGGAAGGAAGCAGGATGGAGCCAGGAGACCTGGAGGAGGCGCATGGAGCCTAGAGACATGTGAAGAAACTGCGCTTGTCTTTTGGTCGTGGACTGGGTGACACAGATGTGGGTGAGACCCGTGGGGAGGTGACAATGGCAGCTTTTATCTTGATGTTGATTTTGCTCTTTTCCTTCTGGGCTTGTCTGATTGTTTCTGACCCTTTGCTGTGGGTCCCCACTGGAAGGTGCTTTAGACTCATGGCAGGCTTTGGGGCCTTGCTCTGGGCCAATCCCATTTGGATGGACTTTTACCCACGAGGGGACGGGTAACTTTGGGTGCTTCATTTAGAAACTAGACTCCTTGCCTTTCCTGTATTGTTTCCTAGTTGTATTAAAGTTCCTTCCCATTAAAGTCTCCTATGTTTTGTGTTGATGCAGCGGATGGCAGAACCCATTTAGAATAGGCAGGTTTGCGGGGTTTGGGCTGCCCCTCTCCCTGTCCTATAACAGATTTGGCGCCCAACGTGATTTAGGACAGAGCCATCCGTGGTTAGTCAGCCCCATTGGGAAATTGGGCTTCCCTATGGCACTGGCTACCATAAGCGCAAATGTGATTTTTGGTTTCTCAGAAACAATCAGACAAGCCCAGAAGGAAAAGAGCAAAATCAACATCAAGATAAAAGCTGCCATGGTCACCTCCCCACGGGTCTCACCCACATCTGTGTCACCCAGTCCACGACCAAAAGACAAACGCAGTTTCTTCACATGTCTCTAGGCTCCATGCGCCTCCTCCAGGTCTCCTGGCTCCATCCTGCTTCCTTCCTCAGTCTCTTCTTCAGTTCTCCTCTTCCTGCTCAGCTCCACCCTCCCTTGGGTGGGGTAGGGAAACTCCCCCTTTCCTGGGGACCACCCTGTTACAATTCCACTCCTAGGTATATGCTTAAAAGGAATAAAAACATTTATATAGAAAATTTTCAAACCCTAGAAATCTGACTGGAGAATTGAGGCTATGAAAAGGGGTCAGAGAAAAGGGAGAGTAAAGCAGGGAGCACAGTGTTGTAAACCAATGTTACCTCAATTAAAAAAAAACAAAACCGCAAGGTGCATAGCAGTACTATTCATAATAGACAAAAAGTGGAAGCAATTTTTATCTATCGATGAACCCATAAGCAAAAGGTGGTATATCCAATTGAAATTATTCAGCGAGTAAATAGGAATGAAGGCATACTGATAGATGCTACAACATGTACGAACCTTGAAAATATTATCCTAAATAGAAGCCAGTCACAAAATGCCACATACTGTATGACTCCATTGATATGATACAAAACATATGTAGATGAAGCTGTTTTCCAGAGATGAAAAACAGACCAGTGGCACTAGGTGGTTAGGTCGTGCTGATGATTAGGAATTATACTAAGTATTAACTATATTTAAAACCACTGAATTGTATGCTTTAAAATGGTGAACTATGATGTGTGAATTATATCTCAATATAACTTTTAAAAACAAAAAAAATATAATGGATTCTTTTATTATTAGTTAAGTTCTATTTCATATTTTTAAAAGCATAAAAATAAATATAATGGGTCAGAACATTATATGCTATTACTCTCCTCTTAAAAGAAAGCAAAACCACCTAACAAAATAATCAAAAACCAGGAGTAATCTGGTTTAAGATTGCAGGAATACAGAAGATATTAAAATGGACCCCCCCCACCCCCAAGAAATGAGGTCCTCCTGGACCCCTGCAACTTTCTCTCTGACTCCTGGGACAATGAACATGAATTTTTGAGGAAGCAACAATTTCCATATCAATGGTCTGCTTGGCTGGTTAAAGTTTGGAAGGATCTTGTGACTGATGATTCTTTAAGGTCAACTTTGGAGGGTAAACAGTTGCAATGCCAAAAGACCTGTTTTAAAGGAAAGAGTAATCTCACCAACCTGCTTTCCGAAAATTCTGAAAAATCATCTTGAAGTTCAAACTTGTGCAGAACTTCTCCAATGAGATAGCCACTAGAAAATGCCTTTGCAAATGACTTGGGACCTGAATTTCAAAGCACAAAGACAAAAAAGTAAATATAGTTTTGCACATATAGCTCATCTGTTTTTGATAATATAGACTTAAAGAAAAAGTCCATAGTTTAAGTTGAACTCACAATGCCATGAAAGTCCTTTTAGAAATATCTTTTTTTTAAATATCCTTTTTTAACTAAATGAAAAGACTGAAGCTAAACAGTAGACTTTTTGAAAAGTTCCCCAAATAAACTCAGTACTTGATAATGTATGAAATTTTGAAAGAAAAGACAATTTCTGATTATATGAAACAAAACACAACCAATGAAAACTTATAAATATCCTTAGATCTCAAAACAAAACAAACCTTTAAGAGATCTTACAAAATAAGACCTTACTTATCAATACAACTTGCCAATAATTAGAGCATAGTCCAACCAAGTGATGTTCCATCTAATTTTTTTAAACTATAAGACTTAATTTTAAATTTTGTAATGGAAATTTTACAAAAGTCATCTGATGACAATAAATAAAGTCTACGGAACATAATCAAGTTTTCCTGGGTGCTTGTGGGATGGGGGTTACTCTGGTCCAGTTGTCCCAAGACATCCCAGAGGAAATCAGGCCATGGAGTCACAGATAATTGCATCAGAGTCTTGACTGTCTCCCTTGGTAGCTGTGCAACCTTGGGCAAGATGCTTAACCTCTCTGAGTTTCTGTCTCTTCATCTCTAAAACAGAGATAACCATATCTATGTATACCCTGGGGAGTGTTGTTTTGAAAATTAGACGTAAGGTATGAGAATCTCTTGGTGCTGTGTCTGGCACACAGAATGTACATATTGATAAATGCAGAGAAAAATATTTAAATGTTGAGTAGAATTTGCTTTCTTTCAAAATGTCCTTAGTTTAGGGTCATTTATATTTTTCTTATGAAGTGAAGGATGGTATTCAAGGATGATGTATAAAATAAATAATATCGGGCCTCCCCAGTGGCGCAGTGGTTGAGGGCTGGGTTGCGAAGCTGCCCGCGGCCTCTGCGGCGCCGGTTCGATCCCCAGCTGCTCCCTGGCCACCTCTCCTGCCGCCCGCTGCTCCCCTCAGCAGTGTACTTTGGTCCTTCTGCCTGCTCTGCTCCCCGCTCTGGCTCTGGTGAATTCTCTCACCCTCCCGCGCTTCTGACTGTACCCAGTGCTTGTATAAATAAATAAATAAATAAATCTTTTTTAAAAAAATAATAAATAAATAATATCATTATAGGACAAAATCATCATCTTTCAAATAATTTCAAAATCCCATAGAAATCTTCAACATGTTTCATTAAGCAGTAGCAGCCAAAAGACTAGATACTGTATAGCACGGCAGTATCACACATTTGTGTGTATCAAATGGCCCTCTTTTATTTATTTGACTAATAATAAAGGAACTAAACTGAGTATGGAGAAATCACACTTCATGATTCGTAGAACTGACCCTTGGTGTGTGGCTGCAGGGAGGTGAGGTCAGTTACTCCATAAAGATCATTGTACAGACTTCACCCAGAAGTCTATACACCATCATAAAAATAAGATTATTTTGCATATCTGATATCAGTCCACTAGGCTTTGGACCTTTTATCCAAGGCTTTTCAAATATTTATTCTCAAAACATTTTAGCCTCAAAATATTTTATATTAAATCAATATAGTAATAGTTTTAAAATATGTCAACTATTCCCATTGACTCAGTTCACTCAGGGTGAACTCCTGAACTGCCCAGGATGAGAATCTATTGACCAAGGTTATATGACCTTTCATTTTGTCTATGAAGCACTTTGCCAACAAGAAGTGAAACTTTGCAAGCTCCCCCAAACAAAAATTGCCAGTCATCTAAATGTGTGTTTGGTTATAGTTTATGTGAAAAGAAAAATTCTGTGTTCATTCTTAAAGTCTAGAGTCTGGCACCTATTTGTGTAAATTTTATCAAGTTTTGCCTAAAGCAGACTGGTTTTATCATTATTTTAAAACTATTTTTAAAATCACTATAGAAACATGATACCTGCTTTCATGTTGATGGGTCGATACACTTCTTCCTCAGCTATATCTTCCCTCCAAAGCTGTGTCTTAATTTGAAACATCAATATAACTCTTGACAAGAGAACAGATACTAACCCCCTCCTGGGTCTTCGGCTGGGAGAATCTGGAATTTGGGGCATATGCTAGCTCTGCAACCAGCCAGCTCTGCTGTCGGCCTGTCTTTACCCATGCAATGCATGTTAAGCCTGTGCTTTCTAACCAAGGCACCAGATGGTTCTGACTCTAACATGACAACAGTCATAGGGCCTTGTGATACTACAACATGAGAGGGACTGAGATTGCTCTTACCCTAAATGCCATCTGTTCCTTAGCAAGGGCCATCTGGCATTATACAAGAGTAGTCTCAGCCCTTCCTTCACTAGAACAATCAAGATCCAGAGCTTGCGTTATCAATCATATTTTAAAAATCAAGCAAATTGGCTGGGAACTGACCTGGCCCCACCAGGCCTTGGTGTTCCTGGGAGACGGCCCCACACTCCACTTAGCCTTGACAGGTTTCTGCTGAATATAGTCTATTTCACAGCACACCAGCATCTGACAAGGCCACTCTGTGACCTTCATGATCCAGACAAAAACAAAATCCCCCTGTCATCATGTCTGTACTCACATAAAAACAAAGGTGCTCAAAATAAAAATGACCAAATGTCCCTCGATTCTGGTTAGTGTGAGTGATTGCTTTTTTCCAAATGTGGCTCACTTCCTAGATGAGCTTCATTAAGATTATAGCTCAGCTATAGTATTGCCTATGCTCCTTGACAGGATCCCAATTCAGAGCAAAGCACAGCTTCCTTGAACTCTCCTCCAAAACACCTTACACAACTCCAACTGCTGGAAGTCCTTTCTATACCTTCCATACTGAGATGTCCACTGTCACCTGTGCTGTTTGTCCCTGAATAGCGCAACTGAACAAACCCAACTTGGTTCAGACACAGGCATACCCTAAGACTGATTGACTTTTTCAATTTTCTCCTTTGAAGACTTGATCATTTTCCCAAGATTTACTGTCTGAAACAAAATCTCAGTTGCTATATTATAATCTTTCATGGTTAAAATATGGAGTGTCATTCTTTTGTGATTTTATATCTTAAAAGTTTGACATTGATTTACACAACAGCCTTTTGTTACTAGATTTGTTATTTCAATTTTTAGTCAATGGAAGCAAAATTTTAATCAAGGAAAATACTGATGAGCTAGCCAGGAAATATAAAAATTTGTTGTGTTACATGAGAAGTAATAAATTTCCTGACTATCCTGAGGACTGATGTATGAAAATATGTGTGATTTAATGATACCCAGTTAAAATAGGAATAAACAAAGAGTCAGCAGACACAGAATTTACTGCTAACTTGCCACTACCTAGCTTTATAACCCTAAGCAAATTTCTAAACATATTTGATTTAAAGACCTCATATGCAAGAGAATTAAATGACATCTAAGATTCTTTTTCATATCTAAAGTTATATGACTCTCAGACACCCTAAGGTTGCAAACCAATAAAAGGTTACCGTAATACCTTATAAGTTACTGTAATAGCTAGATATTCAATAGGATATTTTGATATCTGTAATCTCTCAAAATAACATATGACCATTCTGCAAAAGTCTGTACTTGAGCTCTAATCAACAAAGTATAGTTAGTGCAGAAGGGAACTCAAATAAAGCATGCCTCCAAAATCTGGGACAAACAGTAAAAACAACACTCTTTACAACAAAATTACTAAAATTTAATATAAAAGGATAAACTTACAGAAACACACTTATTTAAAAAAATTAACAAAGACCACAGAATATCTCTTAAAATTCTCAACAATTTATCTAGTCAAACTTTTTACACCTCATGGAAACTATAATCTCGGGATACATTAATCCTTTTCCATATGTAGCAAAAAAGATATGCTACAATGAAATAATACACAAATATTGTAATTTCATAAGTTTTTAGAGTAGTAGTCATGCTGGAAAATAGAATAGCATGTATCCCCACATACAGGGAGAAGAGGAGGAAATTCATTTCTCTCATGTAATCAAATCTAACCCATCCCCAATATATCTAGATAAAATATCTCTAGAGCAGAAAAGTAAAACACATCACATATTAGCTCAATTTGAGAGGTCATTTTGGTAATATCTGGTTTCTGATTGTCAGCGAGCCTCTTGATCTATAAATTTGGTCTTGTCCTGCATGCACCATCCTACCAAGCTGGAATACCATGTTCAATGGGCAGTGCTATCCTTTTCCTCATAAACTGGTACCCTGACTTATAAAATCAACAAAATGCAAATTCAGTCAGTATGAAACAGCCGCTAAGAACTTGCCTAGTGTAATGAAATAGAGCTCCTGAAAATGTTTTCAAGGCTCCACCAAGGATCAAAGTGCCCAGGGTCACCTTCTTGGGATGAACAAATCCATAAGGTTCAGCCTGAAACAGTACTCTATTTTTGCCTCAATTATATACTCTTGTAAAATAAAAATTTATTTGCTAAGTGTCCATTGTGTGACAAGCACAATACTAAGCACTACTATAAAGTGAGAGACAGAAAAAAAGTTGAGTATCTAGATCCTTGTACAGATGTTAGTGACTGTGATAGATGTTTTCTCTTTGCAAATCCATTTGATGCCTCCCCAGATATGTAGCAATAATTGTTCTTACTTCTCAGGGTATAAAACTGGAACCTGAATATTATCATTTCTATTTTGTATACCATGAAATCAAGACTTAGGTACAATTAACTTTCCCAGACCCAGTTTTCTTTTTATTGTACCTCTGTTACTATTGATAACAATGTTTAAGATTACCGATACAATTAAAATATACATAAAATGTCCTCACAATATTCAACATTCAATGTAGCCACACCCAAAATCCAGAATATGGACTGTTATCCAACCCAAAAGATCTGATCTGTGCAGCACAGGAATAAAGGGCTTCTGATTTACTTATAGACAATGTTCAGCTATGACATTCTGATGTTAGTTTCCTCTTATGGTGAACTCATGAAAGTTTTATAAAACAGACACATTGCTTACTCTTGAAAATAACAGAATTCTTAAAGAATTTTACAGCAAATATTTCAGAAGCATTACTCCACAGTGCTTATTTTTCATTATAATAATAACTGAGTTTCAGATGTGATTTTTTGTGGAGGAACTTATTATAGTCTAAGACATTTCATTAACATCTTAATACCATTTTCATGGAGAAATAATCTAGTTAAATTTAATGCACTGAAGATACTTAGCTCTAGTAACATAGATTTGAATTTTCATATGTTGCAACTAATCAAGTCTCTGGAGATGCACAGGAACCTTGTTAAGTGCGGAGAGACTGTTCTCCCTGAGCATCATTGGAATTCATTTTCTTTAACTCAGATAGTCAGGGTAGCCCAGGCAACACAAAATTCAATATAATATGTTTTACCCAAATCGACTCCTGCCTTTCAGAATTATCCAGAAATCAATCAGATTTAACTGTCTCTCCAATGACTGAATCATTATTCAGTCTCATGCACTCACTTGTCCTTCTCATGCTGTTTTCTTTGTCCCAGGAAACAACATGTGGACTGCACCACTTCTAAACAAGCACTAAGAAATTCACCTTACCCATCTTCACCATCTAGCATGCCCTGTGACAAGGTTACGCCCTCCGAATTACAACATAATTTTATATGCCATAATTTTTACATGTACTATCTCATTTAATCTCAACACAACTCTATGAGGTATTATTATTACTATTATTTTAAGTAGCATCAAATGCAGGCAAATAACTGGCCCAAACTCACTAGCTAGTAAGTGGTACATAAAAGGCCAAGCAGTCTGGCCTCCAAATTCTTGTTCTTAATGGGACCCTCATCCAGAACTTGCCAGTGGTTGTACCTTCTTCAGATCCTTCCATGATATCTATAAAAGCCATTCAGAACCTTCCATTGTACACCAAAACAATTGATCAAAATATGGGAATCAACAAGCAGCAGTATGGTTCCTGAGGTGCAAAGATTCTATCTATCTCATTTGTTTGCAAACAAAGTTGTCTACAGTCTCAAAAGTTTTATAGTAAGGAGCGTGGTTACCTGGGAACTGTTTCTCTCTTTAGATTCCTCTTAGCAATTAGGATCAAGCAATGAATATGTATTGCTAGTGAGTGGGATACAGAACACTGCAGCTGTCTCTGCTAACAGCTTCCAGATTTACACTGCAGGGAAAGACATCGGGAATTTTCCAATTGGTTTGTCTTGTTAAAATTCTTACTTAAAAAGTCGCCAGCCTTTTAATCTTCATAAAGTGAAATAATTCTTCTTACTCATCTCAAAACCAAAATTCCCCAAACCGATTACAATTCCCCCAAACTCCCCAACCCGACATACTACTGTTTTTATGTTTCTTATTAATTTTATTTACTTTTTTCAAAAGTGTTTCAATATGCGAGAGAGTTCTGGGAACTTAAGCAAATGGTGTGGTTTTCACAAATCAAATAAATGAACAAAATTAAACTCAACAATCTGTAACTGCTTTTCTTTGGAACAGTATAGCTTTAGGGAGTGATAATGTGTTTTGACTCTGGTGGCCAGAGAGGAAAAAGAAAAGAAAAATACTAGACATTGTTCTGAGGTCAGCATCCTAATTATTGGGCACTGTCAGAGACACAATAGAACCATCATAGAATCCTGGCTGAGAACTGATTGCAGTTTCCAGGGAGTATGTGGGTGGTGGTTTGGCAAAAAAAAGTGTGGGGATTAAGCCTCAAGAAATGCAACAGGAGATGCTCCAGTGTTAAAGATAATGATACTGATAATTGACATTTTGTCATTGCAGAAACACTACTGATGTAGCAAATTTTCTGGGTCACAGAAGGTTGCATTGGCACCATGGCCCCCCCTTGTAGCAAGTCGGCATTATGCAAGTCTGCTTCTGAGAAAACAGACTGAAATGACTGGGCTGCAAACCTCTTGCCTTGAGCAACAACCATAGCAGCTGAAAAAATAAAAATATAACTGCTGTTCAGGAAACAACAGAATGAAGTTGAGGAGTCCTGTGCTGGAATCGCTTGGCTGTCACAGAAGTTGCCTGCCTGTAAAAAATTCCACTGTGGTTGTAAGATTTAATAAACTATGGGTGGCAACTTCATGGGTGAGATAAAATCAGGCTAGTGACTAAGTAAGGTCCACCTTTGGGCAAAAGTGAACAGTGATCAGAAGTAGCTGGTTTGTAAATGTTTATCTTAAACTGCTAAAATTTGCATCTTAGTTTGTGTCAACTCATTTCACACCCCCTCTCTTTTTAGGAGTTAGGGATGAGAAGTATGACGGCATCTGTTTTATACACTCAGAGGGGGATCTGTAATTTGTCCAGGGCTGCATACCCCACTGGTTTGCCAGCTCATAGCGCTTAAGGATAGAGGAGTGAGAAGCATGATCAGCAGCAGACTACAAAGTCCAGCAAACTCCTCTCTCCGTAGAAGCTGGGGAGTCCTCCCTAACCCCCCTTATTGCTTAGAACCACACATTAGGTCAGAAACTCTGCGGGGTTGGGCCCAAGGTGAAGATGGGAAACTCTGGAGCTTTAAAGCGGGGTTGGGCGACGCCCCACTGCGCGGGGGGGTGAGTTGGAGAGTGGGGGGCGTGGGGTGGGCCTGGGGAGATGAAGGTGCCCGGCTCCTCGCCTAGGGGCGCTGCCTGGCCAGGCAGACACCCCCTCACCCCAGCACAGCCCGCGGCTTCCCGCCACCTCTCATCAGCTTGCTTTTTTTGGGGTACGGCCCCTCTCGCCCCGGCCTCGTCACTCACTCACGGTCTGGGACACCTTCACCTCCTGGTTGAGCCACTGGCACAGGATCTCCGACATGATTCGGCCTGGTCTTCGGATCGCGAGCAGGTGTTAGGAACGCGCGGGAAACTAAGCCCTCGTCCCGCGTCCCCCTGTTGCCAAGGACAACCCGTTGCTAGGAAGCGTATCTAGGGCCGAGGTAGGCGAAAGGCGCGGACAAGAGAGGCGCTCGAGCCCCGCCGCCCAGCACTGAAAACCGTGGCGCGCCCCCTGCTGGCGGGGAGGACCGGCCGTGCGCGCCGAGGGCCGCGGGGCCCAGGAGCTGGGCGGGAGCAGGTGTGGCGGGAAGCCCTGCGCTGCGCAGGGGAGCTTGCCCGAACAGTGAGAAAGAGAAAACCTGGTTTGGGAGCAGTTTTTTTTTCTTTCTTCCAGATTTTACTTTAAGGAAATCTATCCAAGTTCTTGTTCTAATGGGACCCTCCTCCGGTGGCCGGGGAGCAGCCGGGGATCGAACTGGCGCCTCAGAGGCCGCGGGCAGCTTCGCAACCCAGCGCTCAACTGCTGCGCCACCGGGGAGGAAAACAAACAAACAAACAAACAAACAAACAAAAAACCCCATTATTTCTAATGGTAGCGGTCTTGTTAGTTTGCAAATTCCCCGGTTTAATTGCTGTATTGTGTGGACCACCTTGGCATGGACGCAGTGTGTCTTATTCATTTATTTTAATCCCAGACAAAGCAAGCATTCATTCCATAATTTAATTTTTGTGGGTGGTGCAGGAGGAACTAACAATTAGGATACTTCTTATCTCTACATATTTTTTAAAGATTTATTTATTTATGCATACAAGAGCTGGGGCACAGGCCAGAGATGCGAGGCTGGGGTGGTGAGAGGATCCACCAGAGAGAGAGTGAAACAGAATAGGCAGATCTACTGAAATACACTGCTGAGGGGAGCAGCGGGAGAGACAGGAGGGTCTGCCTCGCCATGTGGGTAGCTCCCTGGCTGGCTGGGGATCAAACTTGTGCTGCAGAGGCTGCGGATTGCTTCATAGTGTGGTGTTTAACCCCTTCTGCCACCAGGGAGGCCCCATATCTCTATATTGTTTTGACAGGAGAATATTGAGTGAACTGCTTTTCTAGTCAGTTTTCCTCCATTTTAATTAGTCCATGAATTATTCTTTTTTTTTTTTTTTTGACAAAGACTCACCTTGATCAAACCAGAATCTGTCTTACCTGAGATCTCTTCCCTCTGGAGATCCCATCCTTGGTCCCCTTAGTCCAGCTTTAGCAAGAACACTATTAGGTCAGTTTAGCAAAAATCCTCCATCCTCCACATCTCATCAAATTCCTATGCTCCCACCGCTGACGACTGATAACCAGTTTCCTTGGCCTGCCTCCAGCAGGAATTCAGTCTGGTCTCTTTAGCCAGAATCCCCCTTAACTCCTGATGTTTCTGCTCATTAATTTTCCATACATGGACCCCACACCTTATTTGTTGACTGTAACCTTCACCCCGCCTTTTCCTTGTGTTCAGAGATTCGCCATCCTCTTTCCTTCACTCAAAACCCGATTGTGGTGATCCCTAAATAATGGCTACCTTACTGCCTTTATTAAGATTCAGAAAAATTTTCCTTTAATAATGTTTAAATGTGTAGATGGAATGATGGGAAAAAATGCTTATTCATGTGTAACTTGGTTCAATGACAAAGTTAATTAGATAATCAAAGAAAGGATTGCAAGGAAGCAGTTCAACAGATTTTACAGTGAAAACTACTCCAATAATCACGTTTCAATTTAGTTTTTATGGGTAGGAGCAGTGAGACATTAACATCAAAAATGTGATTATTCTTAAGATTGATTTATTTATACAAGAACCAGGGTACAGGCCAGATGTGGGGTGTGTGTGAGAGGATTCACCAGAGACAGAGTGGGGAGCAGAACAGGCAGATTGACTGAAATACACTGCTGAGGAGAGCAGTGGTCGAGACAGGAGAGGTCTGCTGCGCCTTGTGAGTTGTTCCACGGCAGGCGGGGATTGAACCGGCACTGCAGAGGCTGCGGACAGCTTCACAGCGTTGCGCTCAACCACCTGCACCACCAGGGAGGCCCAAAAATGTGATTATTCTTGACCGAGGTGCTTCTGGTCCAGTTATTTTGATCTAAAGATCTGTTGAGGCTATAGGTACAGAGGAAAACAATGTTGAGGCTTACTCTTTTCCTTTTTGAATGATGCATTGTGGAGATGCAAAAGCTGGAGACCCATTTTAAATCTTTTTTAATCTAGCTCCTTTGTCATTAGTGGAGATTGAAAGCCTAGTTTACCTGCGGGTAGCAGATTTTCGCATTAGTTGCTTCTCTTCAAATTTATGCAAACGACTTTGTTCTCCTACCTGCTAGACTAGGGAGAGGGGTGTTCCCAGAACATTTTACAGTATATTCACACATAGCTGCAGGCAGCATATTATCTTATATGTGTAATAAGATATAGCTCACAATTATAAGAAACTCTCCCCACCCCAAAGATCTAGCTACACCAAAGTATAATTCCTTTTACTTGTAGGAACAATAAAAGTAATAGCCTGCCAGAATAAATGTCCCATAACTTATTTGAATTTGATCTGTTTGTCCTGAAGGTTCAGTGCCATTTCTTCATTGACTTTATTTTACTTTAAAATCTCTGGTCCCAGGAATTTCTTCACACCCAACACAGCAGATGTGACTATGGTGGGAATTCTGAGAGAGATGTATCACCCACAGAATTAGAACCGCATACATTCTATACAACTCTCAAATGTTCACATTTGGAAGATTATAAGATTCTTAAAAGTCCTGATAGCTTGTGGAATAGATCTCTTAATGCTTTATCCTTAGGAAACATGTCACCTCTGAAAATGCTTCTAAGGATGGAAAGGTGTCTGAAAAGGTGTCTAGAAAGTGTCTTGGGGGCCCTGCTTTCTGCTGTCCTGGTAGAACATTTAAATTGGTGATTACATTCAATAAGTGATAATAAGCTGTGGTTTCAATCTGTAGAACCTGAGGGGTAGAAGCCCAGTGTTTTCCAAATTGTCAAGAAGATGCTTTCGGGGAAGGGTAGAGTATAGATGATGAGTTACCTAACGCCCCTGCTGGACAGAAGACAGTTGGGGTCTATCAATCATTAGAGAATTGGGCTGTCATTGCCACATCAAAGTGAAATACTCTTTGGGACTGCTGGTTTGTAGTTTATTTCAATGGTTATTTATAGTGTTTGGAACTCTTGTCCAAACAACATAGTCTATGAATATGGTATTTTGGAAAAGTTTATATACAGGATTTAGATAAATGAAAATAGACACTTTGCAAAATATGAAAGGCAAAGTCCTTTATTTGACAAAAGAACATTTTTTCCAGTTTGCAAAGCATATAACTTGAAAATGACCTGTCATTCAAATATTAATATTAAAAAATATTTTAAAATTATAAACTTGCACACTGAAATGTGTGCTTTTTATATGCCTTTTCCTTGAAATTGCTAATTTATTTATTATTCTAAATCTAACATTAAATCCATTACATTCCCTTTGAAATCCCAGGTCTGGATAAGGTTCTTTTATAGCCTTTTTGGTATTTTGCATTAATATGTGAGTTGGTTTTTCCCTCAGGTAGAATTATTTAAGAAAGGAGATGCTTTTAAAAATAGTTTTCTATCTCTCCTAGAGATAGGTTCCTTATGGCCTTTTAAATTAAATTACTTTAGATTATTTGACTCCTGCACTCCATTGTAACTACCTTAGCAATTTTAAAACTAAACAAAAGATTTCTTTATTAAAGCATTACTTGTCATTTAATTATAAATCTTTATCACTCTTCTGTAAATAGCTAAGGGTGAATAATAGTTATTTGGAGACCACAGGTTGGTTTGAAAAGTCTTGCTGTATACTGAAGTGAAATATGCCTTATTATTTTAAAAAAAAATTGTAAGATTTTTTTCATAAACTAGTTTTACACTAGAAACAATGTCCCATCTTTGGAACCAGACACACATCAGTCTGGATTTGCTTTTGACTTGAGTAGCTTTTTGACTCTGGAAAAAGTACTTAACCTTACCGAGTCTCAGTTTCCTTATCTATAGACTCAGGGCACCAACACTTGTTTCATAAAGTTGTAAGGATTAAAGAAGAAATTGCACATACGATAGCCTGGTTTATAGTAGACACCAAATGAATGTTTCCTTCTCTTAAGGATTATTTGAATTTCCTCATTGCAATACGGTTGGTTCGGTTTTCAGTAGCTTAGATTTGCTTATAGTATTTCAAAAAGCTTTTCAGAAATTATTCCATAAGGCTGCTTTGATTTTAGTTATGATTAATTCAGTATCTAATCATACATAAATACAAGCACATAGATTTAAAAAAAATACTTAGTGTTTCACATTGATCTTGTGTGCCTTTCTTCATTTCCCCTTGTCACCTTAGATTATTTTCTCATTCTCTTTCCTCAGCATGTTTTGCAATGGCCTTCTCACTTTATACTCATTCATTCAACAAATGTTTCCCCCTATGTCCACAATAACCACTCAAGCCAGAGAGGGTCTTCCTCTCTCCTCATCCTGTGCAAAAAGTTGAGTTTATATCCCTAAAGTCCTTCTCTATCACTCAATACAGACAATTTCATGGACTTCATTCAAGCAGTGTTTACACATGGTGGGACTTAACCTGTTAGAATATGTAATTCCTCTTGTGGGACATGTCAGAATTATTTATAGATGAAACAGTGTAGAATAGAAGAAAATAAAATAAAATGAAAAGAGCATTGAATGTCCTTTACAATTCAGCTTCAACCCAACCTACACAATTTGTGCTTTGCATGAATTCCCTTTGCACAACTTCCTCACATTTATTCACCATGTGCCATTTCCCATCTCTACATTCTTCCTCTTCAAAAAAAGTTTCTATCAGCCAATGCTGCCTGTAAGCACCTTCCAGAACCTCCCTTGACTTTCCAACCCCTTGTCCCTTCTGAAAGCTCAAAATAAGTGCTTTCCCTTATTTTCCTTACTTCTCACCCTTTAACTCTTACCAACTACCCACAGTTTGGCCAGCAACTCAGTTTTGCAATCTTCTTGTAGTATCTTTCTCAATACTTTTTCAAATAAATGTTGATTTAGTCTCTCAGAAGAGGCAATAATTTAGCTCTT